GAGTCAGTAGCTTTTCCATGGGGAAGCTGGAACAAAGCGGCTTGCACGGGACCACAATTCCCAGTGCTGAGTTACTAATGGGCACAGCTGGACTCTCACCTGGGGCCTTCTCTGTCAGGACCCCCCCCCCCCCCCCCCCCCCGCCTCCTAATCATAGCCCCTGGTGATGTCCAAAGCTCCACACCCTTCACCTAAGCAGCTGGACCAGAGCACCAGGTGGTTACCTGGGACTGCCCATCCCCCATGCTGCAGCCCACAAAATAAGGAGTTGCAAGGGACCTTGAAGAGTAACCCTGGGCCAAATCAGCTGCTGGATGCTAGCAAAATGGCCCAAGGCCTTTCTTCTTCCTGAGACAGACACTGAAGGAGCCTCCAGAACTCCACAAAATACCTTCCCCATCTGCCTGACACGTTATCGCTGAACTCCATCCTAATGCCTACTCTACCACGTTGCTACCCCTCACACACAGAATGCGGCTTACAACCAATAATGGCTAACAACGCTTCTTCTTCTCTCTCTTATTCAGTGGTCCAGAAAAGAACTGGTACCATTAACAACTGGTAGCCTCTTACAGCCCACGAACTACGGAATGTAAACACTGGCACATATGAGACACATAGGATAGGATGGAGGATACAAAGATTCAAAGTGACACTGGGAATTTACATTTCCAGGAAGAATCCCCTTTTCTCGAGAGACCTGCCCTTGCCGTCCCACACAAACCATCGTCTGTTCAGGTTTAACCAACAGAAGAAAACATGCCTGAAAATAAAAAGGAACGCTACAGAGAGCCCAGAGAGAGCCTGAACAGACTCTAATGGGGCCCCTGCCAGTCCACAGTCTTCTATGTAATAAAACATCAACAACAGTCAATCTCTCCTGTGTCCTCGTGCTTTTCACTCTAGAGGTTTCTGGGTCATCTAAGACCAATAGTTGCTTTTAGATTCTTAACCTGTATTTGTGTCATAGGGCACCAGCCAGCTACCTTAGTTCCTGATGCACCCACACCATCTCCCAAGTAATGGAATCACAAGGGTGTACCACCATGCTGCCTGTTAGGGCATGGCTAGGCATCAGCCATGGCGGCTGACACCTACCGGCCACCAGTCAGGTATAAACGAGTGTCAGCTTCCAGTCACAGATTCCCCGGTGCCCTCTCCACTACCTCGTCCTTCTGGAATGACTGCCCACCTTACTGCCCACCCACCCAGCCTTCCCCTTCACAGTTCCATCCTCCAGTGTTTTCTACGCACTGCCTCCTCCTGGAAGCCCAGACAATTCTTTCTCTGCACACACACAGAATGCTTCCTCCACAGCAAGCTGGACCACGGATATCACAGTTCATAAAATGTTACAATACTGTGGTTTCTTAGAAAATAAAACACACACTCAACTTGGTATTCAGCTTCGAAAACCTTTGGAGTTTCCTGAATGACTGGTGACGCAATGGGGTGTGGGAGACAGGGCCCACACAGCTCAGAGTGAGGGGCTGTTTGCCAGAAAAAACAGCCACTTCATTAGGTCGGAGTGCTCAGCTCCAACACCTGACCTCAGGAAAGGAGGGGCTAGAGAAAGACTTCAGCCAACAATGCTCAAGCTTTTCCTCAAACCTCCACAAAACCCTTGGGGGTCCTCTTAGCATGCGACTTTACTAATAAGCTGGGAAGAGAAGACACCAAAGCTTTGAGTCCACAGTTTCCAATCTTCCCATCCCAGTGTTAATCACATCACCAAGGCTATTCGTTTGTCTCTCGGTAGCAAACTGCCCAAAGTGTGCTTCTCTGTGGATAAAGAGCTTGCTCCGCCAGTCTGAGGACATGACAAGTCGGCCGCAGAGGCACACACCTGAAATCTCAGTGCTGGGGAGAGGAGGGGCAGAGACCAGTGGATCCCCCAGACTGGCTGGACAATCAATCCGGCTGAAACCAGTTCAGTAAGAGACTACCTCCAAAAATAAGGTGGAGCACAATAGAAAAAAAAAAAAAACAGCCTGGCATTGACCTGTGATAGATGCACACATGGGCACCACCACCACCCTCCCCTTAAAAGAAAATCCACACCGTGCATTCTCACTAATTAATTTTTAGAAAATAAAAACTAGGGCTGCAGATGGCTCAGCGGTTTCTTAACTCTTGCACTGGCTGGTCTTCCAGAGGTCCTGAGTTCAATTCCCAGCAATCACATGGTGGCTCACAACCATCTGTAATGAGATCTGGTGCCCTCTTCTGGCCTGCAGGCATACATGTAGGCAGAACACTGTATACATAATAAATAAATCTTTATTTAAAAAAAAAAAAAACAACTATTCTTGAGGTCCCCCAACCCAGGACACCCCTGTGACATGTCTACCCTGCACCTCTGACTCCCAAGCCCCTGACTACAAGGTCACAGCCTTGTCTCCATCTATTTGGTCCCCTATGCCTAAAGATGCCTCTCTTGCTCCCTTTCTCTTTGGCCCATTGTATCTCTTGCTGATGTTCATCACAGCACTGAGCACATCGCTCCAACGGGCTGGCTTGAGGGAGAGCTTGAGTTCCTTAAAGAAATAGTGTCCTTCCTCCCAGGACAAACTCATCTGTGATGAGTTATGAATCCCTTCCAATATGGAGGTTCCTAGAGCTGTCATTATGCAGGAACCTGGGATTCAAGACACACACACACACCAACTCCATATATGCATATAGAACATATGTACAGAAAACATATGTCCCTCTGTTGTGGTTTCTAGTTGTGTGTTTCTAGGTATTTTTACAGGTGTGTGAATATGTGTGTTTCTACATCTATGTGTGTCCTGTGCTTCTTTTTCAACTATTTTGTGTGTTTGTCCTAAGGTTTGTCTGTTTTTATTTTATTTTATTTTTAGGTGCCTGGTTGTTTTTTAATGAGAGAGAAAGAAAGAGATGCAGCCAGGCAGTGGTGGCACAAGCTCTTAATTCCAGGACTCAGAGGCAGACGCAGGTGGATCTCTGCAAATTCAAGGTCAGTCTGGTCTACAGAGTGAGTTCCAGGACAGCCAAAGCTGTTACTTGAGGGAAGTAGCAATTTTCAATCAAAAAGATTTTCCCCCTTTTTTCCTTCGTTTATGGAGTGTTGCAAAGGGGTTAAGGGAACACACCTAGCGCCTAGTGTACGCTAAGTAAATGCTCTACACTGAACAACACTGACAAACCCCAAGAATTATCACAAAACTGCTAAAAAGAAGATCCATACCTTCCAGCATGCCTTAAAACTCATTTGGTTTTTCCTTGCCTCTGCCCACAGACACTGTGACTGATCCACAGAGCTCCCTTTGCCCTATGGACTTGTGTGCATAACACAGGGAACCAGCAAGGGCTGTGGAGACATCCTGGAAGTGAGCAGAATCTTGTGTGTGGTTTCTTCACTCCAATCTTACCTCTTAGCAATTCGAAAAACACAATGCTGTTTACCCCACGGGCTGATTACACCCGCTGTAAAGGGTCTTAGAAAACTTGATAGTTCAGCGGGCACTGGTGGCACATGCCTTTAATCCCAGCACTCCCGAGGCAGAGGTAGGCAGATCTCTGTGAGTTCGAGGCCAGCCTGGTCCACAGAGAGAGTGCCAGGGCTACACAGAGAAATCCTGTCTCAAAACAAAAACAAAACCTGATAGTCACTGGAGGTGCATGCGTTATGATTCAGCTTATCTGAAATATCCAGAAGAAGTGAACAAAGACTGAAAGCAGGGGAGTGGGTGTTGGGAAAGCTGGGGAGAGGGTGGCAGGAGCGACAATGGAAAGGCATGAGGTGTCTGTGGGAACAATAAGACTGTCCTAAAACTAGATAGTGGGGGCTGGAGAGATGGCTCAGCGGTTAAGAGCACTGCCTGCTCTTCCAAGGGTCCTGAGTTCAATTCCCAGCAACCACATGGTGACTCACAACCATCTGTAATGAGGTCTGCTGCCCTCTTCTGGCCTGCAGGCATACACGCAGACAGAATATTGTATACATAGTAAATAAATAAATGTTTATAAAAAAAAAAACTAGATAGTGGGGTTGGCTGCACAACACTGTAAATATATACACGCCACTGAGAGATCTGTTTCTCATAGGGTTTCATAGTCCCAATACTGAGACCAGGAAGGGATTGCCCTTTCTAAACTGGGGAATGACTAGCCCAGTAGCACCACAAAATGACAGAGAGGCAAGACTCTGTCCCCACCAAGAGCAGCCATCCAAGCCCTGTCAAAGGAGACCCATGCAAATGGAGCTTGCAGGTGACAGGAGCCAATGCAAACACTTCTTGGGAGTTCAGAGAACAATGGGCCACTCAGGCACGAGAGCCACACGGACACTTTCCCAAGACGGGGTGTGAGCAGTGAGACTCCAGAGCCAATGGCAGTTTAGCATCATGATCACCAGAGTGAGGTTCACATCTGACCAAGAAAATCACTTTAATTTGAATTGAATCGAAATTTGAGTTGAATCGAAAGATATGAAGCCTTAGAAATGAAGAATTTCACAAACTGCCAAAGTAAAATCTATTTCTGCTCTTGTTGTTGGAAGATGATTGGTCCTGGGTAGACAATGGTAGATACTCTGCGGGCTTAAAAATAACGCATCTGACTCGAAAACTCTTTGGAGTTGGTATTTAGGGTCATAGTTGTTTGCATCTGGAATCAACAAATATATTCATAGCTACTTAGGTATGTATGCATGGACATAGAAATATATTGACTTCCTATGCAAGGGTGCATTTAAAGAACTTAGTAGATTCCTTCTTAGAACTTAGTAGAATCTAACACTGACTTATGAAGACACAATTCTTCATATGGTGCTGACAGCATCAACGGGCAAATGCCTAAGCAAGGAAATGATTAAAACATACATAGATTATTTCCTTAAATTTATAAGAAATTAAACAAGCACAAGTGATTATTCTGAGCCAGCAGGAAAACGTGGATAGCTAGCATAGGTCTGAACAACGCACAGCAAGGACCACACCGGAGCCAGCCACCAGAGATTTGGAGTGTAGACTTACCCTGAGTATCCACTGGCAGGGGCGCAAGGTGAGGAAGTGCAGGATACATATTTGACACGGAAAGGAAAACAATAACGTCAAACTGGTATCCGAGCAGCGCCTGCCTAACCTTCCCTTCGCGTCCAACAGCTGCTGGCTGGCGCACTTACACTCCAATGATCAGACCCACGGCCTCCAGAAACTACAAAGTCCAAGCTCCCCTCTCCTGCCTGGCCAATATCCTTCCTTCTCAGCCATTCCTACTCAAGTCCTCCTCACCTTGCTACTTGGTCATTTCTACAACAAGAGGATAAGGGTTTGCTAAAGACAGAGGGAAAGAATACATGCCAAGAAGAGGCCAGTGAGTTTAAGGAAAACCTTAACTTGGGAGAGAAAAAGAAAACTATAGTTCTAACATTACAGTGGGATAAAAATGAAAAATATTAAGGAATCTAAATTTTTAACACAATAGTAAACATTCTATTGGTGCAGAATTCTGTGGGCATCCCCTCCCCCCCGTATTCCCAGTATTTGACCTTAGATTTCTAGATACTTAGGGGTAGGGGGGAGAGAATCTGCCTACTTAGAGGGCTAACATCAGCCATGCAGTGGTGATAAACACCTTCAATACCAGCACTTGGGAGGCAGAGGCAGGCAGATCTCCGTGAGTTCAAGGAAGGCTAGCCTGGTCTACAGAGTGAGTTCCAGGACAGCCACGGATATACAGAGAGACCTGACTCAAAAAACAAACACCAACATTCCAACTTTCTTTCTCAAATCAAGACCCCGACAAAATGAACCATTAGTGGTTACAGGCGGGAACAGAAGACTCATTAACTCAATCTTTACTTTTACTGTTTTGCAGTGCTGAGGGCTGGAACACAGGGCCTTGTACATACAAGCCAACAATTCTCCTAACTGAGCCACATTCTCAAACCAATTTTTAAATTTAAATTAATAAACCATATACTGTGGATGTGGCTCAGCAGCAGAAAATCTGCCTGGGTGTGGGTTTGACTCACAAACGCCCCCCACTAGCACACACACACACACACAAGCAATGATAATAACATAAACGTTAGATCCTGAGAAGTAAGAACGCTGGTTGTGCACAGTAATGCGTGTCTCCTTCACGATTTACTAATGCTGGCTCTGCCCCTGACCCAGTGCCTCAGACCAGAAGTTCTCTGAGGGTCAAGTCACCTCTCTCTGGTCCCTTGCTCTTGGCTTTGTGAGCACCTGACAAGCCTGCCTTGGAGAATGAGGAAGCCTTGTACACTTATCCCAGGATGGAGCAGATCCCAAATCCCTTTAAAATGTCACCTAACAGAAGACATACCACTTAAGAGTGTTTGCGACAGAAATATTGAAACCCTGTTAGATTACTAATCACCAGGCTCTACAGTTAAAAGAGGGCTGAATAAACATGTCAACAATTACATTTGTGGGGTAAGAAGTAGGGGACACAAGTTGTTCATGAGCCACATCCTGTATTAGTGTCTACCACTGTCAAAGACAAGGCTAATGCCAGGCTGGTCTGCATGGATGCATTTGAAATCTCCGAATGGAACGTGAGAAGAATTACCATATCACAGATCAGTCTCTGAAAAGCACTCACTGGAAGGCTGCCTCATGAGAGCGCCAAAGACACCCTGGCTGCAGGAGTCAGGCTCAACTCCATCGGGACTCCAGCCCAGACCACTAACATTTCATGAGCAGAGTCCAGGTACCCAGCACTTGAAGGATGTATTATCTATCACCTGAAGGATGTAAGCAATCTCAACTCAACGGGTTTTCCATCAGAATGGGAAACTTCGGCTAACCAGAACCCCAAACTAGGCTCAGAATTCCTCCTACCCTTAAACAATGGCTTTTCCAGCCTATGTTCCACTCAGACACCTTCTGGGAGAGCACCCCCTCAAGATCCTGACAGAATCATGACCCTAGAGTCTTCTGGAAGGTTACCCACAATCATACAATTGTAAGTCTAAAAATAGACTTGGATATTTGGGCGGGGCAGGGATGATAAAGAAATCAAACTTGAAGTAACTAGGAAATCACCAAGCAGCGGGCCACTGATCCAGCACAGGATCTAGTGAGGAGACCTTGTTAGGACTTCAGAACCACCTGATCACAGCCTCCACTCTCTCAGCCTTAGGCCCAAAATGCCTCAAGACACTTCACAATTCAATGCCAATTATTCCCGAGTCCCAAGGCCAGGCGCATTTCTGCTTGGCACAGCCCAGCGTCCTGGGTCTTGAATCATCCTCTCTAGCCTGGATGCACAGCTCATTAGGGCCCAGACAGCCTGCACCAACACTGGGCAGGTCTGTTTGGCACAACTTCCTCTAATGGTCCACTGTGACCAAGCCATCGGGCTGCACCCAGAGGTCCAAATTCTGCTAATTGGAAAAGACCAGTGACTGGAAAACCCTCTCAGCTTCAGGTAGGGCTTAGATAAAACAGATTACCTCTGCATCCAGGAGCTTGAGGCCTCTGACAATAGAACCCTGAGAAGGCTGAGGGGAACAGCTACCTCTCCATTATCCTTTTCAACAGGCCCCCAAACCTTCTCTAAGTGTAAGCATCACCCCCGGACCACCTCATCAGGATCACTATCACTCCTATTTCACGGCTGCCAAGCTGCGAACCAGGCGGACAGTCTGCTCTTCTAGGGGCCTCAGACTGATGGACTACAGCGGCATCTTCCTGCACACCACTGCCCTGTAGACTCGCCAGAACAATACAGGCTGTAAATCCTCTGACTTGTCAAATGCCAGCTGCCAGGTGCCCTCATGAGAGAGAATAAGATACACAAACCCCGTAACTCACATCCCAGAGAAACTACAGCAGCCAAGAAGGACAGAAAATATGAGTGTCTCTAAAAACGCCACTGCACGCATCTTGAAACAGGCATAGGGTATCTGTCAGAACTGAAGGGGAAGGGCCCTGTGAAAAATGTGAGTTTTATGGAGCCAACCCTTCCTTCCAAGGTACCTCCCCCCCCCCACTTCACCTCTTGAAATGTGTTTTCATTCTGAACAATCACTGTTTGTCGAGAAAAGAGAAAATGGAGGGGTTGGGGTCTCTCCCTAAAAAGGTTGTTTTGAACAGCCTTTGGCACTACCTCCCATAAAGCAGCCTGCAGGAAGAACCCATCCTATCAGTGGAGATTCAACAACTTAAAAAAAAAAAGTAATAAGAATCGCTGCTTTCTCCTACTCAAGAGCAATTTTCAGGCTCCGGGAAATGTTACAAATCTTTGCAAAGTGGACACGGCCAGACCTTTTGTCTTTAAACCCCATCCGATCTGGAGAGGCGAGGACGGCTCCTGGATGTGACAGTTCATTGGTCTGTCACGAGGAACAGGGAACAGGGTGCAAAGAGACAGCTTACATCTGCCTGGCTTCCCTTGGTGGTGAATCCTAGGTCTCTGCCCTCAGAAACATATTTAAAAAATCCCCTAGACAACAAAGACTAAGTCTCTAGGCTCCCAGTGCAGCCACTGCGCATAAATTTGAAAGACTCAAATGAGGATTTCAGAGAATATGGGTCATGAAAGATGCAGGAGGAGGAGGACATCGTTTCCGTGATAATTACTATAGAACATTTGCATAAAGGCTCCTCTGCGTTATCCTAGGGCTTCCAAGGACTTTACCACAGAGCACAGCGGGCAAAGAGCTGCCCTATTGGAAGACAGAGGCAGGGGAATGATAAAGACTACCTGACAAGAGCTTCTCGCTCATCTATGCCCTGCACTTTAAGAACCTTTAAGCATGGACAGAAGAGTTGGCTCAGAGGTTAAAAGCACCGGCTGCTCTTCCAGAGGACCTGGGTTCAGTTCCCGGCACCCACCGGCAGCTCACAACTATCTGTAAGTCCAGTTCCAGGGGACCTGATGCTCTTCTGGTCTGCACGGGTGCTACTAGCACACGTGGTGCACAGATGTGCATGAGGGGAAAACACCAGCACTCATAAAATAAGAGAAAAAGAACTTGAAGCCAGGTGGGTGGGGCCCGCCCCGCCCCGACTAAGGAGGCCTATGAACTGCACAGCTTCTGGCCCACACGCAGCACACTTTCAGTTCCTCTCAGAGCCCTAGGACCGTTGCAGACTTTTCGGTTACCTTTCTTCGCCTTCTTCTGCAGTTTCAGCGTGTCAGAGGACTTCTTTTTTATCTCCTGGCGAGCTTTCTTATATTCTAAGAGAAAGCAGAACATTGACAGTGTTACCGCTCTGCTCAACCTCCCTCCCAGAAAGCATAATCTCAACACACAGCCAACAGCTATCTCCAAATACACAATGATAAAAATCACTGTGACATTTCACCACAAAGGCGTTGTTTACATGAAAAACAAACAGACACACGACAGTCTTTCCTTGCCCACACCAAGAGAAGATGTCACTGGGGACGGTATAATTAAAAAAAAAAAGTCACAATATGTCTATTAGAATTCAGGGAAGATCACCAGCATTACCTACTTTCCCAAGGCCCTTAGGATCCAAGATGCATTTGCTGAAGGCATAAACAAGCTAATGGGAAAAACAGGTTTTGTTTTGTTTAGTTTTGTTTTTTTGGTTTTTCGAGACAGGGTTTCTCTGTGGCTTTGGAGCCTGTCCTGGAACTAGCTCTGTAGACCAGGCTGGTCTCGAACTCACAGAGATCTGCCTGCCTCTGCCTCCCGAGTGCTGGGATTAAGAGAAACAGGCTTCTAAGAGGCTCAGGAAAATCACCCACAGATAAGCGTTACTCATCGGTCTTCGAATCTCTTTTATAGTTAGCTTTGCTGTGCATTTAATACACAAATCAAATTAAACTATCAATTCTTTCTCCATCTGAAAATAATATTCACGTATTTCTATTTTCTTTTTTACTTAATGAAACAAATGAACACATGAGAAGCTCAAGAGATGACAACCAGGACCTGATTACACACAGTGGGAAAATAAATCCTGTAAATTTGCCCACCTCCTTGATGGCACAGAAAAGCTGAAGATTTAAGTACTGTTTCATACACAGTTGCTAGACCTCAAGAGGAGAAACACCACTAAGTCGTGGCTCTTAAAGAAGAAAATTACTTTTAAAATAAGCATCAAGAAGAGACACAGATTCAAGGTGCCATTTTCCCTATTGAAGGTAAATTATAACGTTTTTTTTTTTTTTAAATGGGAATGAGGGCTGGAGATATGGTTCAGCAAATAAAAGTATTAGCTGCTTTTCCAAAGGACCCAGGTTGAATTCCCAGCACCTACATGGCGGCTCACAATTGTCTAGTTCCTCAGTGCACACAAGCCTTCATTATTTTACAACATTCTTTTATCAAAATATTTCATTGGATGTCACTCAAGTTTTTCAGTAACATGGCTCCTAGTTAAAGGAACATGACCACCAGAGCTGACCATCAACTTTAGAGGAACATGCACACACACACACACATACCCAAAAAACCAACTAAATAAATCTATGTATTTTGTGGCACCAATGAGTGCACAGACATGGAACTCAGGGAAACCAATCACTCTGGGTGCCTGAACACAGAGGATGGACGACTTGGATGGATGCGAAGTCCCCGGTGGTTACAGACAGCTTCCAGGCATGTGGAGTAATCTTCATTGTCCAGTCTACGCAAGCACAGTCAACCACTCTTAAGATCAGAAAGTGGCCCGTCTCAGGACCACCTGACACGGGGCATCCACACTCTCCAGTTGATCTAAAGAGCACTTTGATGTCAGTCACGGACGTGCAGAGTCTGGAGTTTGCCCAGCTGGTTTCCAGTCTTGTTTTGGCACAGCAAGTCCTCGCTATGCTCCCTTCCCTGTGTTTCAGAATGTGTCCTGTGCCCTCATATGCTTGAAGTATGTGGTCTGCTTTTTGATTCTGATTTTTACAGGTTTTACAGTTAAGAGATTGTATGACTCGCTGAAGAGACTTTGAACTTTGGACTTGAAAACATGGTTGAGACTGTGATAGACTATGGGGACTTCGGAAGTCGGACTAAATGCATTGTGCCCTATATTGTTACAAGCTTACGGGAGTGGAATGTGGGAGGCTGAATGTAATCAGGCCCATAACCTTATAGGGAGTGGCACTATTTGGAGGTGTGGCTTTGTTGGAGTGGGTATGGCCTTGTTGGAGGAAGTGTGTCACTGTGGGGGCGCGCTTTGAGGGTTCCTATGTTCAGGATACTTCTGAATATTTCAGTCGATTTCCTGTTGCCTGCAAGATGTAGCAGTCTCAGCTCCAGAGCCACATCTGCCTACACAGCGTCATGTTAATGTCATGACGATAACGAACTGAACCTCTGAACTATAAGCTGCCACTCCAATTAAATGTTTGCTTTCGAAGGGTTGCCATGGTCACGGTGCCTCTTCACAGCACTGATAACCCTGGCTAAGGCAACTACACTCATGTTAAATTCAGTGACCACAAAACCACAGAGCAGTAAGAGAGAGGATTGAGTGCCTAGCAATGTTCCATGCCAGGCAAACAACAGTCAGTCACAATGGTGACACTTTGGACCCCTCGTCCCCCAAAGCTGAATGAAATGCCTACAGGAGGAGGAGAGACGGAGAGGGTTCTGAGCCATTCTGGTAACAAAAGAAACCAAGTACAGCAGTGGCACCAGCCACAGCAGCACCACAGCTTCCATGCTCCAGGCCTCTGTACCTTTTGCATGGTCCTTGTCCAGCTGGTTGGCCACTTTCTTCCATTCTTCCATCTGTTCTTGAAGCGGGTTTATCAGGCAATCAATCAACGCACTTTTGTCAAAAAAATAAAGAAAAGGAGAGATTAAGTGATTAAGCGGGTATTTCCTGTTGTCGAGATGCCCACCAGGTGGTGGGTGTGGTAGGCTCGCCTGTCATCAATTCCAGCACTTCAGGAGACAGGAGGATCACCAGTTGGAGGCCAGGCTGGGCTAGCAGGATGCTCCAAAGGATTTGCATTTAGTGGTCAAACATACTTAAATCATTTCCTTGAAGCAAGTAAAAGGCAGAGTAGCGAACCACTATTGCCTCAATATTGTCCACCTTCAGAACAGCCATGGCCTTCAGGATACTTTTTATGACTACTAAGAAGTTTTGTAGAAATGTAAGATGGGGTGATGGCGCATGCCTCCGCACCATTAATCCCAACAACCAAGAAGCAGAGGCAGGTGGATCTCTGTGTGTTCAAGGCTAACCTGGTCCACTCAGCGAGTTCTAGGCCAGTCAGAGATATCTTGTGAGCCCTTGTCTCAAATAAATAAACAAACAAACAAATAAATAATAAAATTAAATATAAAAACAACTACGTAGAAAAGGCTCATGCCTAGCTGGAGAGACCTCTGCTCATACCCTCTGCGATCTTCCAGCCCACATTATAAGGCAGGTGGCAGAAACCTGAGGTCTCTCCTCTGGCCACACGGTGGAAGCCACCAAGAGGCAGAAACACCTGAGCTTAACTTCGTGTCTTCTAAAACTCAGAGAAAGGAAAAAGCAATTGTTTAAGACCCCAGGTGCTACAGGCACTCAGGACCTAAAATCCTAAAGATACAGTAACTGCACAAGGAGACAGACGGGAGCGACCCAGAACATTCTCAATTAGCAAGTGCCAGTTTCTAGTCAACGGCAGAGAAGTCTGGGTACTCATGCATCACCTCAAAAAAAGACAGGACAATGCTGGATTGTGCTGATCTGCTCGGGACACAAGGGCCATTTGTATTTGACAGTGACTCCAAATCCCTGAGCCAGCCATCGCCCTTTCACCCTACCCCTGGTGCCTAATAACTGGGGTACCACTCCCTCTTGGTGGCTCTACCACCAGCACACGGGCCTGGGGCACAGGGCAGGGCAGGCGTATGTCACTCCTTCCCGAGGCTCCTGTGGGGAGCAGTACACGTCATCTCCACAGCTAGGGGGCGATGAGGAGAGCTGTGGGAGGAAGGGCAGGGGGGCATGGGCTGGACTAAGAGTCCACCGCAAGCCCAGCATGGCCTTATCCCAGCACAGAGCAGAGTCCCAGCTCACTCAGTGACGGAGCAGCAGAACGGGGGTGTACGGCCTTAAACACTACCGGGAGAAGATGCCATGTCATTGCACCCCTCACCCTACCCGCTAGAATAGAGACGGATGCTCCTCACCTGGAGAACTGCCTCAGCTTGGCCTCGATGCTTCTGTGCCGCATGCACATCCTGGTGAGTGCCGAGCCAATCTCCCGGGTACCACCTGGAAAAGCAGAGGCAGCTCAGTTGAAGGACAGGGCAAGAGCAGGAATTCGATATTAAACATGAGTCAAGTCTCACCACACCGCCGTAGAACCTAGGCCACTACCTTCAGAACTTCTCTTTGTACACACACATGTGAATCTGTGTAATGCGGCTCGTTTGCATAGCACCAAGACTAAGGTTACTCTTACTGTACTGTTTTCTAGTCTTAAGTTTTCTTGTTCATTTTGTACTGTTGATCGTGAGTCAGAAATCAAACTTACAAAATCCTTACTGGGACCTGTAGTTTGGCAGGTACGTACGTCTCCAGGCTGAGACAGCAAGGGTTAAAGCCCTAGTGCCAAAGCCAGAGACCAGAATTCAACAGATGGTAGAGAAAGAACTCCTGGAGATCGCTGTCTGACACATGCTCACACAATAAAATATTATTTCTCTTGCCAGGCGGTGGTGTCGCACACCCTTAATCCCAGCACTTGGGAGGCAGAGGCAGGGGAATCTCTGTGAATTAGAAGACAGCCTGGTCTACAGAGTGAGTTTCAGGACAGCCACAACTACACAAAGAGAAGCTCTCTTTCAGAAAACAAAACAAAAAACAAAAAAATATTCCTATGAAAATATCTAATATCTAATATATATAAAATATATAATTCCTATGAAAATATCTAATATATATATATATACACACATACACACACACACACACACACACACACACGGAAAGATTTAAAGATTCCCCCACCCTGACCCTCTCTGCCCAAATAACCCTCAAGGTTGTTTTGGAATAATTAAGGGCCTCTGGCTCACTATTTCAGGATGCTTGCAATTCTACAATAAAGCTACAGCAAAGCGAAGTCATGGAATATTTTTTAATTGGACACTGGTGACCGAGATCTTGGAGTTCAGCAAATGTGGGAAGGAAGTTAAAGCATGGTTTGATTTTTTTCCAAGATTCTTCTTGTTCCTTCCCTTCAGCCACACCCTTTCTAATTATTAGTTTTGAAGTTCTTCTGTTCCTCCCCGTTTTGGGAAAAATTATTGAATCAGTATTTGCTGGGACGTGTGGAGAACAAATTGTCACTTCAGATCATAACTCCATAAGGACCCTGGAGGGCGCAGTCACAAACATTAGGAAAACACAAACATGTAACTTGTGAAACTGGGGGAAGTGTCAACTAAAGCAGTTTTCTAACCAACAAAACATTCAGACGAAAGCCACAGGAATTTATGGCGGGTTTAACTAAGTCACCAAGAAAAAAACAAACAAACAAATCCCTCTTATTAAAAGATATGGCATTATATGGGTTACATTTTGTTTCATCCTCTCCACAGAAATGCTTGTGTTTTGGTTCAGTTCCCCTCGTTTTCCATTTTATTCCACAAGCTAAGAGCTCTCTACAAGCAAATAACAACAGCAACAAAAAAAAAGTAGCTACCAATTAGCAAAGCTTCAGCTCCTGGGAACCAGGAGCAAGTGGTCTACCAGGAGTTCAAGGCCAGCTGGGGCTAATCCTTGTCTCAAAACTAAGTAAATAAACAAGTGAGTCCGGCTCCCTTGCAGAGGCCAGCAGATCCTTTAATCCACAGGCCAGCCTGGTCTACACAGCAAACTCTAGACCTGCCAGGGCTACACAGTGAGACCCTTTCTCATCCACAAAAACAATAATAATTCTGTACTTTATAGCACCCCAAAAAACTGCTTTCCCAGGGAGCTTGCCCAGTCCTCTCAGTTAGAACTTCTGACAATCTATACTAGACACTTGTCATGAGGCTGTCCTGTGTATTGTCAGTTAGCAACATCTTGGTCCGGTCTCACTCGGGGCCAACTGCAGGATCCCCTACTACATCCTCAGACTTGAGTATCTGAACATATCTCCAGCCAGTGACATGTTTTTCCCTGACGAATAAAACTCACACTTTACCGCTAAACAGTGCTGTAAAACCTTGAGCAAGAAGCAATTGGAATCCCAGGGCTGGTTTGGCATTTAAATGATGCCTCTGGGGGCTGGGGTTGGTAGGAAGAGTGCTTGCCTCGCACGTAGGGAAGCCTTTGGGCTCCATGAGGCTTCCATAGTGGCAGAGACCTGTAATCCTAGCACTCCAGAGATGGAGGCAGGAGGTTAAAAAATTCAAAGCCATTTTCAATGATACAGCAAATTTAAAGCCAGTGCAGGATATATGAGACGCTGTGTCCCGCCCCCCCCCCCGCCACATCCACCATGATCAATGACCACCCCAAAACCCCATTTCCAGCATGTGCATCTGAGAAAGTGTTTGTGCCTTTCCAGGGACCACCAGTAGAGGGCGCAATTCTCACACCCTCCATTTGTCTTCCCATTCCATCCTCTGCTGGAGGCTTTAGGATTTTTATTGCTCATGAACAAAGGTGAGGAATGAGAACACTTTATCCCCAGGAAAAGGTTTCTTCTTCCTGTGCCTTCATCTGATTAAAAGTTAATAACATGGCCACACAAGGATATTGGCCCACTTATTCATTGCTGCTAGGAAGGTAGACTAAGGCCTTCCTGGAGGAAAATCGGTAGCAGTGATCAAGAAAGAACCTAAAAATAACGCTCTTTGACCCAGCAACTCTAATCCTAAGAATTTAACCTGAGGGAATAATTAAGAAAAATGGCGAATCCTCACCTATGAGGACAATGATTAAAATGTTTACATCAAAAAATCCCCGTACAATGATCTAGTTAAATGAACCATAAGGCATAGACACCCAACTGAATAGGACACAGCTGTTTAGAAACAGAATCATGTATCACTCGGTGCTGCTTCGAATGTTTAGGTATTGGCTTAAGTACTTTTCGTATATTCAATCATTCATCCTCACAATATTCCGAGATGTACTGATAATGTCGCCATGCCCTTTCCACGGGCAGGAGAAAGAAGTACTGTAAGCGTCTGTCCAAGGTTACAGGACCAGTAAATGACACTCGACCAAGCTGAATCTTCTGGGTTTGTGCATTCAGACACACTCAACTACGTGACACTTTACATAGACAAAAAAGATAGGAAGGGGCAGAGTCCAGCGGAAGCCCAGCTTCCTCATTTACCCACTAGCAAGAGTGGAAAGGTTTTGTTCAGCCAGCTCTCAAAGTTTGCTTCTTGTGTCTAGAACTGTAATGGGTGCCTGAATGGCTAGAATCTGTCCTGACAAAGCCAGTGCAGACAGCCAGGAGTTGGGGGTCTACTCTGGACCCACACTTCCATCTCCTTGAGGTAGAATTAGAGGCTGAAAAACATCATGACCTAGTCCAGTCCTTCCACCCCATCCCGTTTTTTCTGTCCTATTATTTCAGTGCCTTCCCAATATTTTCCATATTTATTTCATCCCCAGGGCCTTCTGAGGGCAGCCGAGTTCTCGGCCGACTGCTACCAAGCAGTTTCTGAACATACTGCCTGTGCCCCACCCCTGTGTCCCTGCACAGGAAGCCCCGGAGAGGACAGGAAATGAAGGAACCTACTGAAGACTTCCTACTGGCAGTATCACTGTACCTGGCATGGGGGCAGGAGGCAGACGACACTCCCTGTGGACCCTGGGACCCAGGGCTGGAACTTGCTGGTCCCAGCATTATGGGTCACCCTAAAAATAGATCTATCTGTGGAAGAGCTTAGCAACAGCTGATGCTTTTCTGACCTCCGCTAGGACTTAAAAAAAAAAAAGAAAAGAAAACACTCAGCAGGTTTGAATTGGAGGAAACTGGCTGGGGCTACAAAGAAAGAGAGGACATCTGGAAGTGGTCCAATGTGACAATGGGAGTATTTATGGAACCACAAATGGCTGGTTTAGGCACCTGGCCTCCTGCAGGGTGGATGAGCGCTTCCTCCTCGAATGAGCGAGTATTTATCATTTGAAGGCTGGACCAACAATCTGTTTGTTTTTTCTTTATGTGTGTGAGGCTGACATCAAGAACCTTCCACAATTTGTTCTCTTCATTATTTTTTAAATTACTCTTTGAGGTACGGTCTCTTGCTGAAGTAGCTCACCAACTGGGTTAGGCTGGCTGGCCAGGGAGCCCCAGGGTTGTTCGCATCTTCTCAAGATGACAGGCATGTGCCACCATACCCAGCATTTTTACATGGGTTTGGGGGGCTGAACTCAGGTCCCAGCTTGCATGGCAAGCACTTCACTGACTTAATGAATACATTTTTACTACAAAACGTTGAAAATAAATGTAAGATAATCTTAGGAAAGGCCTAGACAGAGTCTGGAATCCATGTCAAAAGTGACACACACCTGTGACATTGGGGCTGGGAAGGCAGAGGGTTCTAGAACTGGGTGGCTAGCCAGTTGAGGCAACCAATGAACGCCCGGCTCAGTAAGAAACCCGATCTCTAATCAATCAATTAATTAATTAATAATGAGCAGAGAAGCGACTGAGAAAGAAACCCAACATTGATCTCCGGTCCCCACACAGTTTTACATGCTGTGCACCCATACACAGATGTATGCGTGTGCGCACACACGCACTCCGCTTCCCAGCAACCTAGGAGAAAGGCACCTTCCTCGCACCCCAGCAGGGCTTGCTAACAGGCCACACAGCAGCTAAGCAGAACAGGCAATACCTCAACCCTGCTTTGTCTGACTGCTCTCTGGAAGACTTCTTCCTGCTATGACAAGCTGCAGACGTCCCCAACTGAGGACAAAGAGGAGCATTTCACGCCACAAACAGAATACAAATTGTTTCACGACTGCTTCTCGGAGGGTGGGAAGGAAACTAAGAGGCAAAGGCCAGGGAGCCACTGTTCCTTCCTCCCAACAGTAGCCCGGGTGGACAAATCCTCCCACTGCCACTGGGAAGGCGGTGTCTATCAAGTGGCATTGTCACACCCCGCCAAGCTGCCTCATTTGCAGGCGCCTCCACCTCCCAGCACAGCAGGGGCTGCATGGGCAGGTGGCCTGGGCCTGCCGTGTGGGCAGGTGGCAGGCAAGGACTGAAAGCTGTTTTGTCAGGCTGGATTCTGCAGTAGGGCAGGAAAGAGCTGAAGAAC